CTCGGCGGTCACTCGGTCAGCGGTCACTCGGCGGTCACTCGGCGGTCGCTCGAAAAATCAAATTTTGGGGCAACCTGCGTGCTCAATGGAAGTTCTGGAACTGGGACTCAGGCTCCTGGGCGCGTTCAGGCGTCTGTGTCATTTCGCCAGGCGCGGCCTTGGATGGCTGGAGGGATATCAAGCGTGCCCCTTGGATGACCAAATCCGAATGCCAAACAGGTTGTGCCATCCACGTAACCATGAATAGTTCAGGGAGTGTAACCCTGGTACTACTGCAGTAGGCTTACCCATCTCCATCCTCAAGTACATTCAATGTACAGCTGACTTGAAGTTGCACAGACGGGACACATATCACCACATAACAACATCCTACCGATCGATCTGAATCAAATCAATCTACTAATTCTTTCGACAAAAGGTTGCTATGAATCGAAGAATCACCTCAAATCTCCAGAACCCGCTTCCATCATACAAATGACCATTGACCGGAAATCGGAGATGAGCCTCAACCAGGACCCCCATTTGGGGTGTCTATCAATAGCCCCTTTAAAGGTTAAGGGGTGTTCATAAACCACCCTTTCGGGGGTCCTGGAAGTCCCTTCTTTAGAATCCTTAACAACTCCTCCGCTTCATTCTGAGCTCTGCACGGAAGTGTTCGCCGGTTCATGCCTCGATCACAGATCACAATCTCCGAACTGGTGTGCCCAGGCCAGCCAAATGTACTTCTCCAACTTGGGTAGAACTACACTCCCGAAAACTCACATAGACCCTGGAAGATGGTAACCTGGAAGATGATTTTCCTCCACCAACCAGCGGTGTACTCAGGGTGTATCAGAAACCGTGGAAGTTGCAAACTCCGTGCAACAAAAATGAACAATCGTAGACACTCACAGGAGAGATTAGGAAAAAGACTTTCCTCGCAACAGCCAGGGTCCCACTTCTTGCTGCACTCTTCGTGAAAAACTGTGCGGAGGCTTTTGAAATCACCCTGCAATGCCATGCAAGAAGCTGGTATAGCTCTGTTTACAGAGGGTCCAAACCGCTATTCACTTCATGGTCAACCTGGTCAACCCCGGAGCGTCGTCTTCAGTTGGGCCTCACGAAGATTCCATGTCCTCCGCGTGGTCTGCGCATCGATGAAGCACAAAAGTGTGGAATCATGGATCGAAAGGGACCTCTTCTTCAGAACAAGAGACCGCAGGTCTTCTCTCTCTCTCTCTCTCTTTCTTTCTCTCTCTTCTCTCTCTTCTCTTTCTCTCTTCTCTCTCTTCTCTTTCTCTTTTTCACCCAAGCTTCTGGCGTGTGTGGGCACCGTGGAAGCTCCGATATGTTCAACGTCTCGACTTCTTCGCCAGACTTCTCTTCGCCCAGACTTTTGATCGGCCCTCCTGGTTTGCAATCGAAGTACCTGGCACCCAGCATCGACGGCGAACACGAACACAACCTCTTCCAGTCGATCTGCTCTCGACAGACTCGAACACAACCTCTTGGCACCGAGAGACTTTCTGGAGGAAAGCGGAAGTGTCTCACCCAACGCAGAACGAGCGGTGATCAAAAACCACCTGCAACAATGGGCTCCCCTAATTAAAACACTTGTAACTTACTTGGTGAAGTTACAAATTACTTAAAACTAAGTTAGCTGGAGGGCTTCGTAAGTAAGATGTAACTTAAATGTAACTATTTTTAAGTTCTATAAGTTCTATTGGTGATTTTTGATGTTCAAAAACTATGTTTTTTCAGGTTTCCCAGTAGCAAGGCCCAAATCGAAGGACATCGAAAAACTATGCTTTTTACCTGGGAAAGCGCTGCTGTTGCAAGGTTTTTTAATGTAGAACACTCACCGCGCCGCTTTGCTGAAGAAAAGCAAAAAGCAAAACAAAAAAGACAAAAAATGCGTTTCGAATTTCTTCGGTGGACCACCACCGCGCTAAAAGAAAAACACTTTCTACTTTAAACCATCAAAACGCATAAGAAAAACAGAACACACACACAATGACCTACATCTGTGTGTTAGGAACACGCTGGGCGGTGGTCCGTCCACAAAATTGAAGGTGGTGGTCCGTCCAAAAAATTGAAGGAGGTGGTCCGTCCAAAAAAGTTGATGGCGGTGGTCCGTCCAAAAATATTGATGGCGGTGGTCCGTCCAAAAAGTTGTGGCCCGTGCCGGCAAAAACGCGGTGCACCCTGATGAACAAGAGGCTATATGTACAGTAGATGT